AATGGGTTTTGAAGTAATGTGCAAGCCAGCCGTAAACATAATGGATGGGAAAACAAACTTTGACCTGATCAAGTTGGGAAGAACATGAAATCTTATTCAAACCATGATACTCGCTAAAACTAGGACCGCAAGGTTAATCTTTCGCCCGCTTGCCATCTTAAAAGTCTCGGGACTAATGAAGTTTTCTGCCTTGGGAAATACAAAGGCACATAACCAAATTGATAAGAATGCTGCTATATATGTTTCATCTTTCTTGTCAGACCTCACCCTAAGCTTGGAAAATATAGCTTCTTGATCACTCGACCACCTAGTTGTCTCGGGAATAACTCCGTTAGGATTATGTGTCGACTTTAGGCGCGCAGATTTCTTTTCCTTTCACAATGGGGCAGGTTTATATATTAAAGGTTTTTTATACCAAAAGTTTATCCACTTGCTGAAGGAGACCTTTTGGTTAGCATTCGTACCTTCCTTAAGGTGATGGAAAGCAGCAAGTAAATACTCACAAGATCGAGGAATAAATCTCATCTATTTTTCATCCAAACCGATGAGTTCTCTTGTCTCAGGTACCACTTTTTCGTACGGAGAACCCGCAATGGGCAGACCTCCACGGATATGTAAGTTCCAAAAGGAGATAGATAGTTCCCCAGCGGATGTAAGAAGCGTGTTCGTCTTGGGGTACCAAGCCTCACAAAATGCTTGCAAAATATTCGAGTTTCGATCATAAGTGAAAAGTGAGGCATAGACAGCATCATAAATCTTTGCTGTACTCAGGGTTTGTTGGCTTTCACTAAGTACATCTTCAGTCCATTCCCAATATCCTGGAATATGACGATACTTGCCCTTGATTGTTGTTGTGTTTCCCCAACGTACTTCGCCTTGAATTATGCGACGCCCTAAGTTTGGAAGGGTGCTAGCAATGTTTACATGGCGATGGATTGGTGCTTGGAGAGACCACATCTTGGACAATGGATTAGAAGTAGACTTGTGCTCCAAGGTCCAGTTTTCTACATGAAGGGAGTTCCTCAAAGAAGGCCATGAGGCTGCATACCGGCCAGCTTGTGCGGTGTGAACCAAGAGCTTGGTTTGTTCTATGCTATTTTCAGTCTCGATTACGAGATATCTAAGTTTGGAGGAAGGTGAGGTATTGTCTCTGAAATTTGTCATCTCTTCAAGTTGCAAATAAAAAAAAAAGTCATCAAAGTGCAGCAATCTGGTTAGTGAAGGCATAGCAAACTGTTATTCTAATTCCATTATTACTAGTAGCAAAAATGTTTTGGTTTAGTTTCATTCCAAACTAAAGTTGAGTCGATTCGTATGACACTATAAAGTGATGACCCTAAAGTAGAGTATACAATACTTATCGCTAGGTAATAACCTAGTTGAATTTCTTGTATCTGTAGTGATATAATATACTCCCGGTGAAAGGTAAAAGAGAATTTTTCTATGTTTAAGTCTAAGAAACTAAACTGATTTCAATGGCTCAATTCCATTGAAATGGCTTTGTGATTTGAATTAAAGTCATGGATTGATACAAATGTTTTAAGAATGTATATCATGATTTATACTACACTTAAATTTTTATTTCTAATAATAAAGAACATGACTGATAAATATTTACTGCTTTATATCAACTATTGGTTGTATTATTTTTGCAAAGTTTTATTCCAGGAACTTGAGTTAGTGAAAGTTTATGATACTTATTAAGTACTATGACGATGTACTCAGTCCTTGCGGGCCCCTCTCTAGAGTCCCGCTCTACTTTACGTATTTCAAGATGAGGTGTGGCTTATGGTGCTAGATGTAACCGACCCCGACCGCTCAATATCCTGTCATTACTGTCTCGTGCATGAAGGGTGTAGTATGGCCCGTATTTGAATTGGGGGCAAACTGGTCCAAATACTACTATCATAAAAAAAGTTGTTGTACAGGATTGGACTAACAGTCGTGTTCAAAATTCAGCAAGCATTCGTTGTACATAATGTTGTGAATCCAGCAAGCATTATATTCGTGATTCGTTATACATTAACGTTGTGTTTCTGAAATAGCATCTACATATCAATTATCTTTCTCAAGGACGCTGAGTTTACAACATCTTAATAGTCATTTTCAGGTTGAACATGCTTTTATGAGGCAAGAGGTAATTCTTGCATATATTAACAGCCAAGAAGCTGCAAAATTTCCGGGTGACTTTCAGTTTTTGTGTTATTTAGACGTCATCAGTTTTAGGAATAAATCGAGTAGGATCTGAAGTATACTATGTAGTTCTTTCTTTTGCCAGATTCAACAGCAACAACTAAACAACTAGGATTCATCCCAAACAAATTGTGGTCGGTTATGAATCCTCATTATCCATGTGGGATATCTTTGTACATTCATCTCTATTATGCAGAGAAGCAAAATATTTGCTGCTAAGATGCCTCCATAACATATGAAATTGCAAATTTATAAGATTTAAGCTATATGCTCCGTTTAAATAATATTTTACCATTAATATAATTTAACTTGTTATAGTAAGTTACTTGCGCATATTTGATTTTAGGCTCCAAATATAGTATCAAAAAGTTGAATGAAATAATAAAAAAAAGAATATTAGAATGGGCACAAAGGTCTAAATGGGTAAAATGGCCTCCGATAGTCGGGCCACATTGAGAGTAACCTCTCCGATAGTCGGGTCATTTTGAGAGTAATCTCTCCGATAGTCAGGCCATATTGAGAGTAATCTCTCCGATAGTCGGGTCATTTTGAGAGTAATCTCTCCGATAGTCGAGGCACATTGAGAGTAATCTCTCCGATAGTCGGGTCACATTGAGAATAATCTCTCCGATAGTCGGGGCACATTGAGAGTAATGTCTCCGATAGTCGGGCCATATTGAGAGTAATGTCTCCGATAGTCGGGGCACATTAAGAGTAATCTCTCCGATAGTCGAGCCACATTGAGAGTAATCTCTCCGATATTCAGGCAAGGATGAGTACTCATCCCCTCACACCCCAAGATTGCCTTCTTCATGCATGGATCATCTCGTTAAACAAGAATACACCCTTCTTGTTTGACCTACAAAAAAAAAGACAACAAAGAAGAAAGCACAAAAAAAGAAGAATGAAATTACCTTCGCATCAATGTTTCCGAGTCCGCAAAACTAGACTCAATATGGCTTGCAAATACTACGAAATGATGCTCAATACATGGGTTTATATAGATTTGAGATGCAGGAGTGGTTCGTTATTTGACGATGTGGGAAGTCATATTGCTAAAGAGATAAGTCAATTGAAAAAGTTTTGGAGCTAAGTTACTGTAGAATCACTTACGTATATGAGATATGTTGGAGTACAACAAAAGGACGTATTTACCATTACTTCAAGCCTAGTCCTCCAAGTTTAGTATATCTACCTCGAAATTAGCCTTGAAGTAGGGGGCATTTGTAGGCATGCAAAATTTATTGGATTTAAATCTATAAAATAATTTGGATTATATTTTAAATTAAAGATATTTTAGTCCAAATAAAATTTATTGGGCTAATATAATTGAATTAATTACATAATTCAATATATATGGATTAAATAAATAAATTCAAATTCATTGGGGTAGCCCATTTAGTTGGGCTACAAATAATGAGCCCATTTCATTAGGCCCAAGATATCATCTTCCTAGAGGCCCAGTTTGGTGCCACACGTGAAATGACGTGGCACGCCAAGTCAAGTGGAAGCTCCAATAGGATCGTGTCACGTGTCAAAATGACAAGGCATGCCAAGTCAAATTAAAGGGCCAATGAAACAGCGCCACGTGTGCAAGTGACATGTTCTGGTCAATTAAATGCGGCCTTGTCACATTTCAATTTGATTGGTCGGAAAGAGTTTGTTCTTATCATAACTCTTCCATCCCACAACTATAAATAGGGTCTTCATAACTCAGAAAAGACATCAGAAGTTATAACAAGAACCAAGAGAGAGCTCGTGGATCAAAGGCCATAAATTTCTCTACAAGTTTCAAGCTTCAAGCAATCAAGTTCAAGTTCAAAAAATCAAGTTCAAGCTCAAGAACTAAGAACAAATCAAGTTCAAGCTCAAGAACGAATAACAAGTCAAGATTCAAGGAGTACGAGTTCAAATCAAAGTTCGTGCTAGTTGAATTTGAGATCATCTTTCGTGGAAACAAATATAGATTCAAGATCAAGCTCAAAGGCCCTTGAATTTATTTACTATTGAAAAGAAGAATCAGAGGATTCATAGTGATTGTAACACTCAAATATTTAAAATAAAATACTACGATTGTTGCAATATTTTTCGGCTTGATTTTATTTTCTCGACATAATTTATTGTATACAGTATGATATGATGATGATTAGTGCTAACGTCTAAGCAATCTTTTGGTCCCTTAATTATTGATAATTTTGTATCTTTATAATATATGATCGGACATATTTTATGTTTTTATAAAGTTTTAAATGTAAGTTTACTTTAAGTCTAAAATAGAACTGATGCCTTAATTAAAACAAAAAAAAATGGAATAATTTTACTCTCATATTCTGAAGTATGAACCCCAACAAAGAGAGCAAATTCTTGCGTAATAATCTCGCGTGTGCCAAAAAGCACATTTTAATGCTTGACCAGTATAATACTATGTAAAGAATAGGCGAAGCTAAAAATATAACCGTAATTACAGGAAAATTTAAAATGTAGTAGTGAATTCTATTTACAATACAGCTAGCTTTTAGAATGTACATAGAGTAAAAGTGCAATGGCATTTATTTATAACTGGAAAAACAAACAATAAATGTACTAGAAATGTTAGTTATATGCATGAGACACGGTTTGGTAGTTGCTTCCAAGAACAGAGGGCCAGTAATTTCCTTATCACTCCAAATCCGATTACTAATGGTGGATATGATTCCTATTCAAATTTTACAGCTTGTCCATTCACTTAGTTATAAGGACCCCCGTTTGTTTCGAGCATAGTAGTTAATTAGGTAATTTAAGAGAAAACTTCTCCATATTTTCTTATTGTCCCTGCCATTTTTATTGTCACTGGTAAATTACTACACTTTTCTTTTGTTTTTCACCCTATCAATTCTTGCTTACCCAAAACTCCACCACCTATGTGAGCTCCGCATAGTTAGTTCTACGTCTCGATAAAGGAGAAAAGTTACGGTAGGTTGTTAAATTATTATACATTTTCATAGTAATGTAATACCTGACAATATTAAAATGAAATAGGCTCGAATAGAGCAAAATATGTGGAGGATCTATATTACCGACCAAAACTAGTTTGAGATAGAGGTGTATTTGATTGATTTAATTATTGCATGCCCTGGCATTTCTTTTATGTGTTGGTGTTATGGACTTTTGATGTTTATCTTTTCAATTGAAATTTGCGATTTCTTGCATTTCATGATGTAAAGTTTCATGATATATGACCGCATTGTCTTGAATTTATTGTGTTTGTTTCCCTTTTATTGCTCTTAGCTTTCATTTCGATGAATTTCAATTGTTATTGAATATTCATGAAATCTTTGTTTGAAATATCAAGTATTGTTTCTGTTGGTGCTTTGAAATTTGTTCTCTCTGTTTGTTTTAATAGGTGTAGGCATTCAGCAAGAGAGTAAATTCTATAAATTGTCACAAATTTTATTGACCTGCAATCATGAGTGGCAAAATGTCAGGACCTCTTGAACGACCAGTCAGGCCAAGTAAGTTCTATTTCCCCCTAATAAAACATGAATCAGAGGCTGAAATCTCCCTATTTATTAACTCTAAATGTTGTTGATCCAGAATATTTACATGAAGCTATAGTTTAAAACTTACTCTAGAATTGATGAAAATTTATAACTTGGTTTTAGAATATATCAAATCACCAACATCTTTGCTATAAGACCCCCTCCAGGGGGGTCGAAATATGTTGTATTAAAGTATTGATCGATTAGTAACATGGTAATTGCCCCTGCTGCTACCGGAAGTGATAATAAATGTGGGAAGGACACGAGTCACGAAAAGTCCTATGAAAAACACAATCGCCTCTGCGTCTTTTTATCATTTGAAGGACGTCCTAGACAACCTTGTCTAATTACTTTTTACAGGTATGGAAAATATTGATATTGAAAACACTGAGGAGGAGAGGAAGCCAAGGCTTGGGTCATTCAAGAAAAAGGCACTTAATGCCTCCAACAAATTCAGACAGTCTCTTAAAAAAACTGGCCGGAGAAACAGTAGAGTCATGTCTGTTGTCTTCGAGGATGAACATGACGCTGAGGAATCAAAGGCAGTTGATGCCTTCCGTCAAGCACTTATCCTGGAGGAATTACTTCCTGCTAAACATGATGATTATCATATGATGCTGAGGTAACAAAAGTCTTTTCCTTCTATAATCAGGGTTAATTTCTTGATGCTTAGTGATTTTTCCTAGTACAATGCTTGATGACAAGTATTTGTGTTTCTACATTTTGAATGATGATACAGGTTTTTGAAGGCCAGAAAATTTGAATTAGAGAAAGCAAAGCAGATGTGGTCTGATATGCTTAATTGGAGGAAGGAATTTGGTGCAGACACTATCATGGAGGTACTTTTTAAAACACCATATCAGGTTTGACAGGAAAAAAAGTAATTCTAAAGATTTAAGGTCTAATTCACTTTTTGTAACATCTTTCGTAGGACTTTGAGTTCAAGGAAAAAGAGGAGGTCGTCAAGTACTATCCTCAAGGGCATCACGGAGTTGACAAAGATGGAAGACCAGTATATATCGAAAGAATTGGTCAAGTAGATTCTACCAAGCTCTTGCAAGTCACAACAATGGACCGTTATCTCAAGTACCACGTGCAAGAGTTCGAGAGGACTTTCAATGACAAATTGCCAGCTTGCTCCATTGCAGCCAAAAAGCATATTGATACAAGCACAACTATTTTGGATGTACAAGGAGTGGTATGTTGAGCTAATAACGCTTTTAAAATAAAGTGAGAATATCCGTCTGCTTTGCCTTAGAATGTGATTGCTGCAATTGTTTGTTTCCAATGATTTCTTTGTAAGAAGTAAAGGTGCAAAAAAAGAAATGTGTATTTAGTCCAGTGGCAGTTTAGAACTATCACTAACTAAATTTACATATATCATGCCTCAGGGACTTAAGAATTTCAACAAATCAGCAAGGGACCTCCTTCAATGCATCCAAGGGATTGATGGTAACAATTATCCTGAGGTACTTGCTTCTTGCTGGCCATTAGTTTATTTCTAGAAATTATTTCACGTTCCTGTCGCTTATTTGAATATTTGATTCACTGCTTAGAGCTTGTGTCGTATGTATATCATCAATGCTGGTTCTGGATTCAGGCTTTTGTGGAACTCTGTCAAGTCATTCCTTGACCCAAAGACGACTGCAAAGATCAACGTAAGCCCACAGTCATCTTCGCATCCTAAATGGACTGCCACTGTTGTTTTCATTGGAATAATAAATTCGTGGCTTTTTTCTTTTAGGTTCTTGGTAACAAGTACCAGAGCAAATTGCTTGAAATAATTGATGCCAGGTAAATGCAGGTGAATTTAAATATTCTCTTCCGCTTTCCTCACCATACCTCCAGCTAAATGTCCCGAGGATATGTGACTTTGATTTTAGTCCAAAAATAATATGAGAGAACGACATTATCTATTTAATAGAGCCTAAAACGACTTGTTTGCCACTACCTTGTCTCAGTGAACTTCCAGAATTCTTAGGTGGTACATGTACTTGTGCTGAAAAAGGAGGATGTATGGTTTCTGATAAAGGCCCGTGGAATGATCCAGAAATAATGAAGGTTAATTTCATCTCTGTAGTTTCCAAGTTTTAGTGTTCAATACCTTTAAACCATGTAATATTTCTGAATTACCTTTTTCCATTGACACACCTAAGATGTGATTAATTTGATGCCAGATGGTTCACAGTGGCATGCATAAATGCTCAAAGAAAAGTGCCAGTCCAGCAGTTGATGAGAAAACAATTTCCGAGGATGGCAATGCCATTCCGAAGGTGCCTGGTTTTCCATCTTTGTTACTTTCTCAGTGATTTTTATTCTTCATAAAGTAGTGAAGTTGTTAAATATATATCGAATCAGCAATAACTGTCCTAGATGTTGCAGGAAGCAAAGAAGAGCAATTCCATTAAAATGAGAACTGCCTCTTCCAAAGTCCAAAGGGATCATGTATCTCATATGCAGCTCTCCACTGTCCATGAGGAAGTAAGGTTCTTCTTCATCCATCACATATTAGAATGCACCAAATTTTATACTTCAATTTTCATGAAACGAACTTAAGCTTCGCTAACATCTGTATCAAAGATGTTTGAGAGAAATAAGAACAATCCAATGCACTTGCTTCTTTTGGATATTCTGGGGAAACAATTGTCACAGAAATAGAGTACTTTTCTGTCTTCAAAACTTCTCTAATATGTTTGATGGTTATTCCTCATATTGTAACACCAGCATTTTCATCCTACCTTTCAACAACAGTTCTACTTCTCCGGATTTTCTTTGTTCTATCAGACTATCAGTATGTCCCAAATAGAGTAAAATGGAAATGTATTTGTAGGTTGAAGTAAAGAAAAACCTCCCTAGTGCATATGATTCTGATAAGTGCATCCCTGTGGTGGACAAAGTAATTGATTCAACTATGCCTAAAGCTACAAAAGCCGACAACTATGCCATTGCAAAAGGTACAGAGTTATTCTCTTATTGTACATCAGATGTTTTACTAGTTCAATTGACAAGATGCTTTTGCTTTCAATATCCTGGTTCATTTGTAGTATTAGCTTTTACTTGCCCTGTTTTCAGCTTCAGATTTCTTACCAATGCACGATATTTCTAAGTCACCCGAAGGATTTAGCAACCACCTTTTCACTGGAGTGATGACATTCGTGATGGGGGTCGTGACAATGGTCCGAATGACACGCAATATGCCAAGAAAGCTTACGGATTCGACCCTCTTGTCAGGTTCCCTAAAGGGCGTTGACATGGTTAAACCACAAGCTCAAGAATATCGGTTGAATGGACCTGCCATCTCGAATAATGAGTACTTTAGCATGATGAAACGGATGGGAGAGCTCGAGGAGAAGGTCATTACTCTTAGCAACAAGCCTAGTGCCTTACCACCTGAGAAAGAGGAAATGCTCAACAATGTCATGAGTCATGTTGATAAATTGGAACAAGAGCTTTGTGCAACCAAGATGGTATTATCAATCAATTCAGTAGTTTCACATAATATTAGAGAATTGGAAGGACAATTAATTTATCCACTTGTCATATTTTTATTGGCAGGCACTTGAGAAAGCCCTTGCTCGTCAAGAGGAGCTCTTAGCCTACATTGAGAAGAAGAAGAAAAAGAAGAACTTCTTTGGTTTCTAAGTGCGGAAGCCACAACAAGAAATGCTGCTTGAATGGCACGCCATGCTTATTAAGTTCACCATGTTAACTTCAATGTAAGCTTATTGTAAATGATCTGATAGAGGCTTTGCTCTAGTCCACTTCGGCGAGATTCACATTCACCAGCAACTTCTTTGTGAGCTCTAATAGTAATATACTCTGTATATTACACATTCAGTGGCTTGCATTTTTGGTTCTTAGTTTTCTGTATATAAGGATAATAGCGGTTTGCATTAGTTCTAATTGTTGCCTTGCAAAGATAGAGCTACTTTTGTTGTTTAAGATAGTCTCCATCTTGCTTCTCGTGTGTCAAAGATATTTTGTTTCTTTTAATCCATCTTCTACCTCCTTTTCTTTGATTACAAGGAGAATGAATTTAAACCTGCTATAGTAGGTTAAATTATACAATCATGTAACTTCAAAAATAATTTCATGTAAATAACTCAATTTAATAACCCATTGATTGATTACTTACACAACAAATGGCAAGTAACTTGCTATAACAAGTTAAATTATATTAATGGTAAAATATTATTTAAACGGAGCATATAACTTAAATCTTATAAATTTGCAATTTCATATGTTATGGAGGCATCTTAGCAGCAAATATTTTGCTTCTCTGCATAATAGAGATGAATGTACAAAGATATCCCACATGGATAATGAGGATTCATAACCGACCACAATTTGTTTGGGATGAATCCTAGTTGTTTCGTTGTTGCTGTTGAATCTGGCAAAAGAAAGAACTACATAGTATACTTCAGATCCTACTCGATT